CAATTTTGACTTTGTTATCATAAACCACAATACTCGATGCATAATTTTTGTATGTGACTGAAATTATTTAATAAGTGAAACCTTATTTCAATGTTTAGAATGTTCTGCAACACAACCTAGGAAACAAGACAATAAAGGAAACTTAGATTTGGGCCACTCTCTGTGATGAAGTATTGTGCATTTCTCTTTCAAAGGTATATTTCTTTAATACCCAATGTTATGCATTTCATGAAACTTATAATGGCTATTGATTTCAACTTATGAATTTATTAAGCTAATTAATTGGAAAGCTATCCTTGCTTTTTAATTTGGCTTGGATAGTATTAATTTAGGAAACTTCAGAAGTTATCTTGATATGGTTGACTCTAAAAACATGACTGATTGATTGTTTCTTACGTTTCATAATTTAAAAACATATGATTTTCAAAATGAAAGGATAATCTATATTTAATTTTTTTTATTTAAAATAGGAAGTTAATATCTTGATGAGTTGAAACTATACAATTATATTTCTTTTTTCAAATTATGTACCCAGCTTACATGCCAAATGGATGTAGAAATTAGATTGATTTGAAACCCTATTAGAATTCAACTTAATTTACAATTCATGACTCTAAAATTTATAAGATACTAACACAACTACATCTTAGTTTTTTTTTCTTTTCCTGAGACAAAGAATGTTCAAATTCATGTTTTACTTTATTATTCAATCTAGCTTCAAAATCAAAATCCATTATAGAGGTTTTGCATTAATTTCTTTTCTTTTATATTAATAATAACAAGGAATGATAGATTAGTAAAATCGAATTTGGTGTAAGCAAAACATTTGTAGTTATTTTGCTTTAAGTTTATGAGTTTAATTTGTTAGATATTAAGCTTGAAATGATGAATAATGGAACTTATTTACATTAACAAGATGATTTTGGAACCATGCACAATGTTTTGCTTTCATAGTTAGGAACAACTCTTGTTATTTGGAAGATAAGGACAACCAAATGTAATAAAACTTTGAGATGGGAAGTTGATATGATATAATGGATTGACATGGGTATTTTTCTTCATCTTATTTCAAATTTTCTCTTTCTTAGCTATTCATGGTTATTAAAGCTTTAAGAAGAGGAGATGATTGTTAATTCATATTTGCAAGGAATCGACATGTACTAGCTTTTTTTTTTCTTCTAATGAGAACATGTACTAATTTTAAGTAGAGTTAATTCAGTAATCTTGCCTTTTAAAGTCAAATATAAAATGCTTGAACATGGCTTCTAACATATAGAGTATCTCAAAAAGGGGGAGCATAGATCGACTTTTGGAATGATCTTCAATTGATGACTGGAAAGATGGTGTCTGGAAAAGAGACAGAGCTTTTGAGGTATGCAGATTTTCATTTTGTGATTCTATAATTTTTTCACATTTTAGTTTAAGGTATCAGTCTTCTTCTTCTTCACCAACTTTGCTTGGATGTTGTGAGTTCATTTCATTTTCTTTAAATTTTTTCAATGAATTGTATTTATCTTTTTGGCCCTTTCAATTATCTTTTTCCTCTTCTTCATCTTTCCCTTTAATACAAAAGGGGATAATTATTCCTCTTGGTCTGTTTCAAAATTTTGAATTTAAGATTTTTTAACTTAAAATCTCAAACTCTTTTATAAGTAGTATAAATGGGAATAGAAATAAAAATATGAAGTGAGAGTTTTTTTTTTTTTTT